TAAGAAATAAAAAAAAAAACTACGTAACGCAAAATATCCTCTTCTAATAGTAAATACGCGAACAGTACAATGCTTTCTAAGTATATCTGGGAAATTAAAAAAACAACAAAAATATCATGGAATATAAGAAAAACCACATCAGATTACAACAATAAATATAAAAAATGTAAACTCTGTCTGAAGGAGAAAATAGCTATAATTACATGTTAGATTGACACAAACTACTAAATAAACTATCTGAGCTCAACTCAAAATGCAGGCACGAAAACAATTTTTTACTGAGTTACTTAAAAATTGAAAACTAAATAAAACAAGATTAAACAAAAATAAATAAATAAAATAAATAAAAAAATAAATAAACAAAATAAGTAAAATAAATTAATCCAAACAAATAAATAAGCAAATAAAGTAAATAATAAACTAATTAATAAGCAAAAGAACGCACACATAAACTCCAGTAAACGTAATAATAACAACCAGCAATAAAATAATCAATAACAAATATAAAAAGGTTAACAAACAACACTATAAATAACCAAAACAACTGCACCCAGAACCACAATCATTTCCAGACAGTGACCACTAGATTAAATCGAAACATAACCAAAATAATCGTTAGAATAATACAATACACTACCCAAAATGCACCACTGACCTGTATATATAAATAGCCGAGCGCTAATATAACGCACATGTCCTGAAAATTGCCTTTTGACTGTTTAAGTCTTGCATAGACTACACTACTGATTTCACGTTCATTTTATTTCAAAGACTGACAAAAAAAATGGTTTAAGTTATTTTGGCTTCATTTATTTTACATTGACTGTATTTGCTGCGATTTTTTATTTAATTTTCATTTTCAGTTTTCTTTCACTTTCCCCTGGCAATAAGCTAACTGTATAATTTTGCTGTAACATCCTTTTATTTGTGGCATTAGTGTTTTTGATTTATTTTTTTTTTCTTGCTTTTAATTTTGTTTTAAGCATTCAAGTTTTTCTTTCTTTATTCTTAAAAATCCCGCCTTTAAAGCCGAATTTTTTAAATTTAATTTCGCAGTTTAATTTTTATTTCACGCTAGACTTTCTGTCAAATTTATTTTTATTTTTCGCCTTATTTCGGCCATTTTGTTTTCTTGATTGGCGAACCATTTTTGCTACACCAGCGTTTAATCTAATTTCTTCAGTTTTTTTTTGTATTTTCAAACATTTTGCATTGATTTTGTTATTTTAATTTGTTTAAGTTAAAAGACTCCCATTTTGTGTTGTTCGTGTCATTGAAGTAATTTCATTTTATTTTTACACGTTATAACTTTTTGTAACTTCGTCTACTAGTAAAACCAGTTTTTCGACTTCCGTTTAAATTTTTTCATTGTTACTGTTTATACTGTTAAACTAGTTTTATTTCATTTTATTTTCCTCCACACTTTGTAGAAATACTTTAATTTTGTCTTAATTTGTTTTTTATTGTTTCTGTTTCTTTTTTTTTCTTTTGTTTGGTCAATTGTTTATTTTCTAATTCCCTTGTTTTGCCTATAGAAAAAAACACACACACAAAAAGGGGCACAATCTTTTAAAAAATGTCCGAAAAATGTACGTACGTTTGGTTACAATAAACGCAAACGCCAGATAAAGAAATAAAAACCAGGAGCATATTATCATGAACGACAAAAAGAAAAATGAACAGAGTATGGTGGTCGCAAATTGCCAAAATTCCGAAGCCGAAACCGGAAAAAGTACACCAACCAAAAATAAGACAACTCAGAATGAAAAGGACAACAACAACATCAACAACAGCAAGGAATGTAATGTAGCGGCCGGGGTTTCGCCTTCTCGCTGGAAGTTTCCCACCCCGATGTGTATATTCAACATTACAGAGTCCCTAGAAAGAGCCAAGATTTACGAACAAGTTAGAAGATAAGGCTGTTGGTAGACCTCTAGGAATTACAGTGGGTTGAGAATAGAATTTTGTCTGTCTTTTTGGTCGACAAGCGTTCGCGCAAATTTTGTCGTTCCGTTAAAAACACCGTGAAAAATCTTTCAGGTTCCTAGGGGTAAACTCTAAAGAGTAATTAAGGGTAAAGGTTACTTTATGTGGGAAGTACTGTTATTCACACCTGCCGACTGTGAGGACGCATCCGCTCGAGATCTTATAACCAAATACCTCATAAAGCGCACGGAATATGAGGACGGAAGTAGGAACTAATAGAAGTATAAGAGGTTTCTCCTCAGGTCAGAGGAGAGCACTTGACCGCCTATTTGAACAGTACGCTCAGATACTAAGTGCTACATCTGACGACCTGAACGAGGGATGAAGTTTTGTGTTAATGCTGGATCAAAAAGCCTTCATCTCCTTCCCCAAATCTTTAGAAGTAGAGAGACAAAAGATGCCGGTCATTAAGACCAGTCGTAAACCTACCTGTTGAAAATGTGGAGAGACTGGTCACCTCTTCCTACTCAGAGATAAAAGCCTCAGAAATTCTGGCTCCTGCCGATCCAAATCC